AGAAAGAAAGAAAGAAAGAAAGAAAGAAAGAAAGAAAGAAAGAAAGAAAGAAAGAAAGAAAGAAGAAGTTATTACAGCCCAGTATGGTGGCACACACCTGTAATCTCAGCAATCTGGGAGGCAGAGGAAGGTGGATCTCTGTGAGTTTGAGGCCAACCTGGTTTACAAAGTTTGAGGTCAAACCAGGACAGCCAAAGCTACACAAAGAAAAAAAATTTACACGTATTGTGTGTGTGCGCGCACACTCATACACTTGTCACAAGCCATCTGCTGGGGTCAGAGGAAAACATCTGGAAGGCGATTCTCTTCTTCCGATCCGCTATGTGGGTCTGGGTGATTGAACTCAGGTCCTTAGGTTTGGCCACAAGCACCTTTATCTACTGCGCCATCTCACCCGCCCAGGGTTGGCTCCTTTTATTTTTCTTCACAGATATGTGTCCCTGTGAGGGTGTGCAGCGAGGAGACCAGAAAAGGGAACTGGATCCCCTGGAACTGGTGGAGCAGGCTGTGAGCCTCCTGTCATGGGTGCTGGGACCCGAACTCGGGTCTTCCAGGGGATTGGCAAGTCCTCTTAACCACTGAGCCATCTTCCCTGCCCCCGTACAGCTTCTGAACAGAGCTGGAGTCCCTACTGAGGACCTGAGCTGCCCAACACCGGGTCTCTCCGAGAACCTCCAGTTGTCTGTCATCACTTTCCAACAAGCATTACATTGTCTTTTTTTTTTTTTTTTTTTTTTTTTGAGAACAGGCTCTATGAAGCCCAGGTTGGCCTCAAACTGTCCACAGTCTTCCTTGCCTCAACCTCCCCTGTGCTGGGATTTACAGGTAGGCGTCATTATGCCTGTGTGCTTCTATTTTCCACTACAGTGTCGGCCCTCACAGGCAGGCTTCTCTTTTCTGCTCGTGGCTTATTCTCAGTCCCTGACGCATACTGAACACGTCAGGAGTCTTGAGCTCAGAACGAGCCGGGGGTCTTACCTGAGATGGAAGGAAAGGGCAGTGGCTAGAGAGTCCGCTACCCTTGTAGAGTCGCCGAACCTTCCAGGACCCCTGCGTGTAACCTGCAGGTGTTACAGTCAAGGGATCAGGAGCCCCCTCCCCCCACGTAAGAACGTGGTTCCCACTCTAAAGCGATTGACAAGCTGTTCCAAGCAGGGTTCCATTTCTCTGTCCCACTAACCCGAGGCAGCAAAGCCCTTTTCGGCTTGCAGAGAAACAGCCCGGATAGGAGGAGACTCCACACAGAGACTACATTTCCCAGGAAGGTTGCCCACAGCGCGGCCGCTCTGCTTTTAAAGAGCCTCACGGCTAAATCCGGAGCGGTTCGGGTCTGGGGGGGGGGGGGGGGGGGGGGGGAGGGGAGGGTGGGAAGCCGGCAGCAGAGAGCCACCTGCCAGGGATTGTGTGGGCAGGCAGGAGTCACGGGGCCTCCTGGTCCTGCAGCGTGCCTCAGCATTGCCAGCCCGGGCGGGGAGCAGCCCCGCATCTTGCCCCACTTGGCATCTCCCAGAAAACCCCTTTTCTTCTCCTAACTCTCTAAAAGGTGGGGAGGAGGCGGAGCTGCTAATCTCATGTCTCAGCGGGAGGTGCCTCCGCCCCCCGCAGAGAGGTGCACCTCTCGTCCCATCTCAACCCAAGGCTGCCGCTCCCCCAATTCTGTCTTCAGGAGAACATGGGCTGTTTTGGGATGGAGGGTAGTAGGTGTTAGAGGGTAAAGAGGTTAGAGCTGCAAAGACGAAATGAAGATCTGGGGTACGGGGGAGCCGCCTCTCTTTCCAAGCCCCCAGGTAAATGTGGTCATAAAATATTCCCTCCCAGGCAGAGGCTCAAGGAAGTGGTGGGGAGCTCCTTGCGAGCTGTGCTGGGTTCTGAGAATTTTAAAAATTCAGCATCCTGTTACCCAATTCAATCAGTTTGTATTCGAAGAGGTTCGTGGACCCGGGAGCAGCGTGGGGAGGGCGCTAGAGTGGAGAAGGTAAGGCATTTGGATTCCTTCTCCATAAAGATCTTAGTGGAAACCCAGAGAATCGGTTTTCAAATTAACCCAGACGAACCTGCTTACTAGTGTTTCCAAATTAAGAACTAACCTGTCCCTTGACTGCAGTCCCTTCACTTAAATAAGTCATGAAGGGACCCGGTCTTGGAACCCACCCCCCAATCATTTGGATTAATTTATGATGTGCTTGGGGGGACACTAACTTGGTCCCAGGGGCTCCCATGCCCGGTAGCCTTCTCCCAACACCTCCCCCAAATTCAAAGATCCACCGTCTTAAGCTGTTCCTTCCCCTGTGACAGCCAGTGCCAGCCAGGCCTTAGCAAAGGTTAGTTCATTCTTGATCAGCAACTCTCTGGTTATTGTTTAATTAAACAACTACGTGCCCTTTTGCTAAGGGAATAAAACCACCGGGTCCAAGAACCGAACCCGAGTAGTCAAGACCACCAGAACCCTACTCCAGGGCCACTGCCCAGAGGACCTGGCACTGTGGGTAGGTCAGCTGCAGACAAGAGGCCCTGGGCTCTCTGGGGGGTTTATTCCGCAGATCTCTGAGCCTCTAGAGTCTCTAGGACTCCCAACAGCCCCAGGTCGGACTACAGGCGATGGCGCCCCTCTTTCAGGTCAGGGATTTGTGCCAAGCAGGGCGGGAAAGGATGGACACATTTTAACAAAGACGTGGCATCTTCCCAGCAAAATGGCTGTGGTTCCGACCACCGCTCCCCGTAGTCCTGGGTACATCAGGACTGCATACGTCCTGACACCAAGGCACGACCAGAGAAACGAGGACTCCCTCCCGGGGGCGGGGGGGTCTCCCTCTGCGTCCCGACTTTCCAAGTCTCTGAAGTACGCGGAGCCCCTGCTCAGCCCAGGGGTCCCCAGGACAGTCTGGTCAGAGCCTATGGGACAGCGCCTGTGAGGTGGACTGCACCCCATCAAGGCACACCCCACCCTGAGAGGGCCAGCGGGAGAGGAGACCTCCACCCCCAGTCTGGGCCTTGGGGTCCTGCTTCCCAGACGCCCCAAACTCCCCAGCCAAAGAAGGCACGTAGACGATCTGTTATATTCCGGTATCTGCAAGATGTCATTGAGGAGACCAGGGCACCCTGGGGGCCCGTCCCCATCTCCCAGGGGTCCCAGGCAGCCTTGGGGGCTCGGGCTCAGGGAGGAATCTCCCCGCCAAGGTCTGGGGGCGCGTCGAGGGGGAGAGGCGACTCCAGAGGGGGAAGGGACAAAGTTTGCAAGTGCCCTTCCAACTCTTGCAGGGAAAGTTTCCCTGGGGGCCCCGCGGACGGAGGGAGAGTGAGGGTGTCAGGGGGGCCGTGGCCGGGTGACCCCCGAGAGGTGACGGGACCCCGGGGAGGCGACCCCTCCCCCCTTGTCCCGACTCGGCCCGGCTGGGAGTCGCCCAGCTCGGGGCCGCGTGTGTTAGTTGGGGCCGCTTCCGCGCCGCTCCTCCAAGTCGGGGGACCCCGCAGCCAGCCGGGAGTGGGGTCCCTGGTAGTCCCGGGAGGGAGCTTTCCTACGGGGGGTCTCAAGCCCCGGGAGTCCCAGGCCCCGCAGAGCCAGCCCCCCGCAAAGGGGAAATGTGCCGGCGCCCCAGCGCTCCTCGGCGCCGTTTGGGGCTCGTGGAGGGCGCGGGGGGCGGTAGCCGGGGCGCCGGAGTCCCCAGCCTGGAAGCCTAGGGAGCCGGGCAGGGACCCCGAGAGACAGCGGGCGGCGGGAGGGCCCGGGCCGCCGGGAAAGGTGGCGTTTGCTCGGCGGAAGAAACACAGATGGCGGCGGCGCGGCGCCATTCCGGGCCGGGAGCAGGCAGCCAGCAGCCCAGTCCTCACCGCGGTCCGCCCGCCGCCGCTAAATACCCGGATGCGCCGCCCGAGCGCCAGACGCAGAGCTGGGAAAGGGGAGGCCGAGGAGGCGGAGGAGGCGGAGGCAGCGCCGGGCGCCGGACTAGCGACAGGACGGTGGGGGCCAGGCCACGCAGAGCTGCCCGCGACCCGCGCCGGGGAGGACAGGAGCCACGCGTCGCCCGCGTCCCCGGCGGCCGCACTTTTCGCCCGGCCTGCTAGTCGAGCGGGAGAGCCCATCCCAAGGCGGGTTCAGTCCAGCCACCGGCGAGGGCTGGCCCTTCGGAAGGCTCCTTGAGCAGCGGGAGCAGGCCGGCCACCATGACCGAGAACTCCACGTCCACCCCGGCGGCGAAGCCCAAGCGGGCCAAGGCCGCCAAGAAGTCCACGGACCACCCCAAGTATTCGGACATGATCGTGGCTGCCATCCAGGCAGAGAAGAACCGCGCCGGCTCCTCGCGCCAGTCCATCCAAAAGTACATCAAGAGCCACTACAAGGTGGGTGAGAACGCCGACTCCCAGATCAAGTTGTCCATCAAGCGCCTGGTGACCACTGGGGTCCTCAAGCAAACCAAAGGCGTGGGCGCCTCGGGCTCCTTCAGGCTGGCCAAGGGCGATGAGCCCAAGCGGTCGGTGGCTTTCAAGAAGACCAAGAAGGAAGTCAAGAAAGTGGCCACCCCAAAGAAGGCAGCCAAGCCCAAGAAGGCTGCCTCCAAAGCCCCAAGCAAGAAGCCCAAAGCCACCCCGGTCAAGAAGGCCAAGAAGAAGCCGGCTGCCACGCCCAAAAAAGCCAAAAAGCCCAAGATTGTCAAAGCCAAGCCAGTCAAGGCATCCAAACCCAAGAAGGCCAAACCCGTGAAGCCCAAAGCCAGGTCCAGTGCCAAGAGAGCCAGCAAGAAGAAGTGACGGGGAAGGCTGTGCTTGTGGACACTCCTTCCTCCCTCCCATTTTCTGTAAATACATTTCTCTCTTGATCTTATCTGCAACCCTTTGCCCATTCTCTTCTGACTTTATATAAAAAGGACAGTTTGGATTCCTCAGACAGACATTGTGGAACGAGTCCATTTTCCTTAACCCATTGTGCAAAGACAGCAAACAGACCTGGTCTTTGTAGTGAAGTTGTACTTTTTTTCTTGATTTGATGATAACCTTACGGCGTTTGGGATGGGGGGGGGGGGTTTGTTTTGTTGGGTGGTTTGTTCACTATGAAGGTAAATGGAACTGGCAAAGTTCTAGCTAGGTGAGGGGACCCAGGGACTAAGGTTTGTCTTTTAAGGCTTTCTTAAGTTGCTCATCCCTTGGGAGTTTTGAAAACCTTTGGTGGGGAGCCGGTGATACCCCAGCTAGCTGGCCAAGGAGGGAGGGAAGGAGAGAGACTCGTGGGGCTGCCCCACCAAGGGTGAGCAGTTGGACCTGTTTTTTTGTTTTTGTCTTCTGCCCGAGTTCCTCCCCATTGTCTAGAAGGGGAAAAGGGTCCAAGTGACAGCTGGTTAGAGAAGCTAGCTTCTCACACCCAGGATCTAGCCATTGGGGAAGGTCTTTTCAGCAGTCTCTGGTTAAATGGGAGTGGATTTAGGGGGAGGGGCGGGGAGTCAGCCAAGTGCCTCAGTGTGCCTATGGAAACTTGGGTTTTTTCCACACGATTGATAAATTGTGTCCTCGGAGGACTTTGTTCTCCGCCCCCCCGCCCTGTCCTGTATAAGATGTGGCTTTGCTTGGTGCCGCTTCAGTTCTGGGAGCTGCCACTTAAAGCCCCAACCTCTTTTACTTTCTGAGGCTTTTCTAAGGAGCCGAGGAGGGGGAGAGGCAGAGCGTGGACTGGGACATACCGCAGTTGGTTTGAATCTGCTATGTAGCTTTAGAGAGCCAGATCATGCGCATGTGTATAGATATCCGTACCTACGACTAGACTTTAGTCTCACTTCGGGAGCTGGGAGAAAAAACCTGTACAGTTGTCTTTCTCTTATTTTAATAAAAATAGGAAACTCGAGCACCCCTCCCCCTTTTAAACACGTGTTCTCAGTGCCGGGAAAATTTTGCTGTGGTTGTAATTTTAAAACTTTAAAATAAAACTGGAAAAGGAAAAAAAAAATGAGTGGTGCGTTTTTTTCCTCAACTGGAAGAGAGTGAGGAGCAATCGGACGGGCAATGTAGGGAGAGTTGGCGCCACGTTCGCACCGGAGAATAGGGAAGCTTTGGAGAGTGATGCGCGTCGTCTAGGCACAGAGGTGGGAGAGGTGGGTGTGCAGGCAGGGTCGGGAGACCGGAGGTCCTGAAGTCGTTTTCTCCGCCTACTGCGTTTCCCCAGCGCGCACCTCCGGGTCTCCACTTAGAAATCAATTCACTTTCTTCGCCCGCAGACGCCGTCTGGCTCCGCCTGCGGGTGGGACCCACCAGCCTCTTAAAGTGAGCTCCTGTTGCTCTGATTGGCTGCTGGGGCCCTGCCCACGCCACGTGACGGGGAGCGCTGGGCAGCCGGTTGGCAGGCGCACTTCACTCTGGGCGCGATGTGGGCCCCCAGCTTGTGGCGGGCAGCGTTGTCCCCCGGCCGCCGCGCGCACTCAGCGCTGGCGCAGCTGCGCGGCATCCTGGACCACGAGCTGGAAGCGATCCGAGGCGCCGGCACCTGGAAGAGTGAGCGGGTGATCACATCCCGCCAGGGACCTTGCATCCGCGTGGACGGAATCTCCGGAGGTAATTTGCCCTCCTGGGAGTCCTTGTACCTGGCCAGGTGGCCAAGAGCCCTTCTAGGGCCTGCATGTGAATGGAGGCCCCAGGGTGGGTGTGAGGGAGCCACGTGCTCGCTCGAGTAGCTGTTGTTCTGTTCTAGTCTGTTCCGGGCACACTATGGCCTCCTAGTGTTAACTCCACCTGTTTAAACCTGTTTGGACGGAAGGAGGTGATTTACCTGTCAGCACATTTTGGGTGCCGAGGGCTGGGCTGCAACGAGACTCAACCCTGTGAGAAAAAGAGAGAGAGATCCAGCTGCATAGGCCTCCTACACCCTGCTCCCAGGAGGAGTGATCAGGAGAAACCCTCATTCCCTGAGCACCTGTGTGTGAAGTCTCTGCTACACCTTTATTCCTGATGACGTCTGTTTGCAAGAGAGAGCAATTTCCCCCCATTGGTTTTTCGAGACAGAGTTTCTCTCTGTGTAGTCCTGGCTGTCCTGAATCCACTCTGTAGAGCAGGCTGGCCTCGAACATACGCCTGCCTCTGCATCCAAACTGCTGAGATTAAAGGTGTACACCACCATGCCTGGTTTTAGAGATTTTTTTTATATAATATTTTATTTATTTATTATGTACACAATGTTCTGTCTGCAAATACATCTGCAGGGCAGAAGAGGACACCAGATCTTATTATAGATGGTTGTGAGCCACCATGTGATTGCTGGGAATTGAACCCAGGACCTCTGGAAGAGCAGCCAGTGCTCTTAGCCTTTGAGCCATCTCTCCAGCCCTAGAGATAATTTCTTATAGAAAGGAAGCATGCCTTTATTCCTAGCTCTCAGAGGCTGGCAAATCTTTGTGAGTTCGATTTCGAACTGGTCTACAGAGTTCTAGGAAAACCTTAAAAAAACAAACAAACAAAAAAAAAAAACCTGAAATGCAACTAGATTTCCCTAGACCCTCCCACTGGCCAGCTCCAGTGTCACAGATATTGGAGTGGAAGGCCCGTTTCAAAGAGACTAAAGTTCAAGCAAGCAAGGGGATTAAGTCCCCGTGTCTCTACACTTAAAGAGGACAGTAGAATGAATCTCTTGTCTCCTAATAGAACCTCCAGCCAGAAGAAACAGGTCCCCTCAAGTGATTTCCGAGAGACATAATCAACAGATTGAGGGTGTGGTTTAGTGGCAGAGTGCTTGCCCAGGCCGCAAAGGGTGTCTGTCCCAGGTCATGAGCTGACCCTTCCTCAGTTTCCTTGGGCCAGCCGTATTAGCTTTTTAAGATTGCTAACTGAGGTCTCTGACACACCCCTCTGGAGATGCAACTCTGGGGAGCAGATGGGTGAGCATTGGAGCTGGAGGACCTAGTCTTCTTTCACAGTTCTTAAAGCAAAATCAAGATGGTGAAGGCCTTGGAGCTGCAGAACCTGTGAGGAAGGTTCTGGGATCCCTTTAGATGAATACTCCTACTCAAAGCCAGGTTTTAAGCTTCTCACCCTTCAAGTTACAAAGCAGAGAGGGACCCTCCTGCACCGTGGCAGTGGAGTCAAAGCTCTCTGGCCACTGCCTAAAATGGATCCTCTGTGCAGCTGTTGCCTCTCAAGGGCAAATCCAAGTTGACTTCCTCTGGCCCCAATCCCGCGGCCTAGCACTACCGTCTTTGCAGGCCTTCCCTTGCTCTTCTTTCATTCTTTCTTTTCTTTTGCTTTCTTTCTTTTTTGAACTTGTTCTGTAGGCCAGGCTGGCCTCAAAACTCAGAGATCTGCCTGCCTCTGGCTCCCATGTGCTAGGATTAAAGGGGTGCTGAAATGATGATGCACAACAGATATTATATGAAAGAGGTTTATTATATAAAAGAAGTTTATTGGATGGAGAAAGAGAGGGGAGAGAGCGAGACATGATGAAGGAGGGGCAGGGGTGCCCCCAACAGAGAAAGGGGGGAGAGGAAGAGAGTGCAAGAGCGAGAAGGCAAGTGAGACAAAGCGGCAGGTTGGTCCTTTTATGGAGCAACTGAACCTCACCTGTCAGGAACGAAGACCTGAAACATCATAGGTTTCTAGGCAACCCAGGAGCAGGCTGCCTAAATATTAACATTCCTCCCTTTTTCTATAATTAAAAAATGAGGAGCTTGGGCTGCTTCTCATGTAAGGAAAATTAAAGTATATACATGTAGGTTCATTGGAAGCAGCTCTTGGTTGCCATGCAAGGGGGTGAGAGAGAGAAAAAAAAAAGTACTATCAACAAAATGTCCAGATTACATGGTCAAGAGGAGGAGGGGAAGCCCCTGCCTTGGAAAGTTCAGGGTAGAGGGTTGCCAGTAGAGAGTTGCCAGCCACACACAGCAGCAGGTAGGGACTGAGGAATGCTGGGAGAACCCAGAACTACTTGTCCCGGGCCTGAAGCACACCATTCCAGCCTTTTGTTAATAATCAGTGAATAACGGACAGAGATTCTCTTCTGGCTACTTCCTGCTGACACTGGAGGCGCTGTAGGGAGGTCAAAAGGCTGAAATGCTGGCCAAGTCCAGGAAGAACAAACAGGCTGCTTTGATGCTGTCCAGGGTCTGTGAGAACGTCCATGGCTGGGAGGGAAAGTGCAGGCCCAGCTTGATGGAAGTCTGTGAGGTCAGATTGGAACACCTGTGGTAGCTGCTTTGGCAATATCATGGATGTAGGAAACACCTGGGTCTGGCAGGATAGTGGAACATATATATAGGCAGAAGACAAAGTTAAGTAAGTTATGGAGAAATTTTCTTTAGGTGTACATTTAAAACTTTTGCGAGAGCAAACAGAGGTGGAAGGTGTGGATCAAAGAGACCTGAACATGGGAACCTCCATTTACCTGAGGGAACCTCCATTTATCCAATCACTGGCAGTAATTAAAAAGGTTTTGGGGCTGGAGAGATGGCTCAGAGGTTAAGAGCACTGGCTGCTCTTCCAAAGGTCCTGAGTTCAATTTCCAGCAACCACATGGTGGCTCACAACCATCTATAATGAGATCTGGTGTCCTCTTCTGGTGTGCATGTGTATACATAATAAATAAATCTTAAAAAAAAAAAAAAGTTTTGCTTTGGATCTGTCATCTAAGGAAATTGAGGCCAATTTTTGTTACAGAGGTGTATAAGCTTAGGGGCCCTTAAAGCAGGCACTAGATATAGAAATCTGAAATTCTCCAGAAGACTTCCCAGAGGAGAATCTGGAGGAATGGACAAATCGACTATTTTCCATTGGGCAGGTAGGAGTCATCGACCTGTCAAGACCTTCCAAGAGTAAGGTTTGACTCAGTAAATTAGTATGTACAATCTGTTCCAACAGCAGTTGGCTAGAGACCAAGGGCACAGCTACCCATAGCAGACATGGTTTACCTAGCTTGGATTTCGTAGATGAGCGAGAGGAGGAGGGAAATAAACTGTGCCAGTAGAGGGAAAATCTTACCAAGGGAGAAGAAGGTCCTAGATGAAGGATTTGAATGTAGGTTGGCGAGTGGTAGGAAGCGTTTGTGCCAACCAGAAGTGAAGACTCACCAATTGACTGGTGCTGGGTGAAGGAATGGAGCAATCAGTAGCCAGGAATTGATACCAACCAGAAGGGAAGACTCACCAATCAGCTGGTGTTGGATGTAAGAATGTAGCAAATGAGTAGCCAGAAAAGGGAAGTCCCCAAACCAGGGAATGGGGAGGAATTCCACCCTCTGAGATAGGCAAGAGGTGTTAATACTTAAGTGGAGCCCAGTTGACCTGAGAGGTGGACTCAGGTGGATTTCCTGCAGCTTACAAGAATACAAGTTTTACAAAGGAGATAAAACTTTAGACTCGTGAGCATCACCATTGTAATCTGCACTGAAAGATACATTGTAGAGAAGGCGGTAGACATCCTCCTTTGTGTTAACAGCATAAACATTCTTTAAGGTGAGCTCGGAAAAGGCAGAAGGGACAAAAGCTCATTTGATCTTACCCTTTAGTATGGTTACACATCAAGGAAGAGAGGCTTTTTCCTCTCTATCCAGAAGGGACTGTATGCACATAAGTCTGGCACAATAAGAAACAATTTTTAAGTCTAGACTTAAAAGACAACCCAAAAGATATTTAAAATCTTGAGCTTGGGACCATGATAGTGGGTGGTAGAGTGGAATTTTTTAATTAGAGTTAGATTAATAAATCAGAGCTCTATTGATAAAGGTCGAAGCTCTGGACAGTCAGTGTAACAGTAGCATAGCAACAGGAGGAAATATTAAGCATTTTTACCTATTTAGGATAACTTAAATCATCTTAGACTTTGCACCCTTTATAATTTGCATTTACCAACCTTAAAACACTTTCTTCG